ATCGGAAATGTAAGCGTGAAGGTGCGTGTGTTACTGTGTCCCACGTACAGCAAGTTCATAGATATTACAAAGAGTCCAACAGGCGAAATCGCATTAACTATGCAGCTCCTTTCGAGCATCGTTGTCAATTCCGTCACGGCTGGAGCCTGCAGTCTCGCAGCGGTGTTTGCGATGCATGCGTGTGGTCAATTGAATATATTGATGAGATGGCTAGATCAATTGGACGATCAAAAGCAGCAAGATATGGTACACCATCAATTGGCAATCATTGTGGAGCACCATCTGAGAGTATTAAGGTAATACCGATATAAATTTAATGTTGATATTTCTGTTTGATGTATACAAAATAAAATCTTTTATATTTTAATGTTTCTGATCTTTAAGCCAATCCAAAATTTTATCTTATCTGACTCTCTTTTTCCTTCTCTCAATGATATATTATAACATAATTCCAAAACAAGTTTATATACACGTAAATAATTGTAATTTACGTTACTTACAGCTTTGTGGCACAAATGGAAGCACTTTTAAATCAAATTTGTTTTGTAGAATTGCTAGGATGTACGTTTAACTTATGTATGATCGGATATTATGTCATTACGGTACGTTAAAGTATTAAAAAAGTGAATGTGTAGTTAAGACATATATATCACATTGTATCACTTTTCATACTTAAATAAATTGCAAAATGAAAGACGCACTTGCAATAAATAATTATCGCCCAGAAAAAAATTGCCACAATACAACCAAGCGACAGCAAACATGATGTTGTAATTTTAAAATTACATAACCACCATATCTTTGGTGTAAAGGAGCATCAAATTTCAAAAAAGTGTTAGTAATTGTAATTTGAGTTTGGATCGATGAAAATAAGTCTAATCAAATAAAAGAAAATCCTATTTTCAGTCAAAGCGAATTTTAATGCGTAAATATTTCAATGAGAATTTATGTACAAAATTCTGTATACTCTCTTTTCGAGCCGACATTTTTCGGGCTTGAAACGCAATCATGAACAGAATTAGAAAGTAATATTAAATATTGAATTAACTTGATAAATATTGATTGTTCTTGATTGTTCTGCTCTGTAAGATAAGATTATCATCAGTATTAGAATTATTATATTTGTGTTGTTCATTAATATTAATATTAAACAAGAACAAATGATATGAATAAATGTGAATCTATGACTGTGAACAGCAAGTAACGTCGCTACATAGAAATTTTTCTTGCATGCGCTCTCCGATTTTCAACTATGATCCTCTACTGTCGTTACTGGATATATTGTGGCATTGCATCCTTATATTATTTTTCAACAATTTGTTATATATAATATTATTTTTCAACATTTAATAATACTTTTAATAATAATTGTATATATAAATTTCATAAATTATCATTATGATATACTTTTAGGGATGGAACACTGTAGAGACGGCAATGACAGTAGCTTGCATGATGATTATATATATATCCATGACCTTCAACATTTTTATATTTTGTTATATTGGCGAAACGGTAACAGAACAGGTAAAAAATACAAATTATGAAATAAAAATTTTGTGGTATAATATATTCTCATATATTCTTACATGTATTATATCTTGTCCAAGTTCTATTAAAAGCACTAAATATATGCATTTATCACAATTTTTCCATATTATGAAATAAATAATTTAATAGTGTAAACAAGTAGGACAAATAGCTTACATGACTAATTGGTATCATTTGCCATATAAAACGGCTCGAGGTCTGATCTTGATTATCTCCCGATCAAGTAGCGTGATCAAATTAACTGCAGGGAAATTAGTTCATCTTTCTATCGCAACTTTTGGTGATGTAAGTACACGAAGTGTATATTATAAGTGTATATTATCATAGGCGCCGACTTGTGAAAAATATTAAAGGGGCATCGAAAAATAATGGAGGGGACACAACAATATTCACATTTTTGCGGTGTTACTGATAGATATAAATCGTTGAAATAAAATTTATCAAATTAACTAAAATTTATAGAATTAATGGAGATTTTTAACAATTTCAGCGATTTATTTTCGTCAAAATGATCGCAAAAAGATGGATAATATTGTGTAGTAGATATCCACTTCTTCAGAGGATTATAATGATACAAGATATGTTGCAGATAATTACAGGAAAAGAACTCTCTTGTCCTTTCTCAGGTTTCTCTTTGGTATGTGATGTCCCTGCACATACAATTCCTTCCAGTAACATATTCGGATTCTCATCTGACCCCGGGTATCACGTCATCCTTGCTGTCTAATAAATGTTAAACAAAGATGACATGACACCCGAGGAATACCTTGATAGGAATTAGAACACGCTTCAACAAGCGATTTAATTTAATACGATAATCATTTCATCCTTATTTAACATTGGCGAACAACAAGAATATAATGATATAATTAACTGTGTCACACTGTGTCATTACACTGTCTCTTGTTGAAAGGCACTCTTAGGATAGCAGATGACGGATGTCACTTTTAATTCACCGCGTCAACGTTATGCATAGTGTGGCCGGGCCTTTTTCACTTTCACTTTTACTAATTACAGAAATTATTTGCAATTGTTAAAAAAACTTTTGTTAAAAGACCAAAAGATACAAATTATTGAGGGAGCATTGCATCCTTTAAAATTATTGGGGGAGCAAAAAGTGGTTTCCCCCCCCCCCCGTAGTCGGTGCCTATGTATATTATGTTTTACAATAATATATATGTTTAAAATGTTTTAGGTGATAAGATCCTCCATGATATATCTAAACATGCTTCGGACTATGACAGCTTCTTAGACAATAATAGTTACCATTTTTGTATAAAGCAAATTTTCTAGTTATCACTATAAATTTATATACTATGTATAAATAAACGATATTATTAATAAAATATAGGACACCTATACCAGAATATATTTCTATATCCTATACCAGAATATATTTCTATATCCCGAGAAAATAATATAAATAAATAAAAATTTCTAAGAATTAAATCGAAGCAAATTATAAGGATCTAGTGATATAAATTCAAATAAATGAAGACTATTTTAATCGAGCTTGTTTTTGATGTTATATCAATATTCAGTGTAAGAAATGATAAAACGAACGTTTCTTTAATATAGTCATCTGTGTCACAATAAATATAAAATTATAAACATATCTATATAAATTTACTATGATTCTTATGACTATAGAAACATACATAGTTTACTTGTATATTTATCTATTATGATATGCTAAAAATACGAATGTATTATTAACACTTTGTAACGTCCTTATTTATAAAATGTACTACTGTAATGTAATACTAATTTCAGATTTTCCAGAATGGTGTGCTTTTGATTCAGCACGAATGATATCATATATTATCATATATGTACCTATGACTCAATATTTTTATATTTTATTACAACGACGAGAATCTTACGAGACAGGTAATTCCTCAGGAAATGTATAAGAACCAGAATTATCCGAATTATTATACTTAAGAATGTACGTAAGTTCCTGCGAGTATAGGGACTCTAATGAAATGTTAGTGACAATGAATTTTTTTTTAATTAGATTGTTAGCGTAATGTTTAATCTCCAATCTGAAAAGGATCTACAATTTAATTGTCAAATTGGTGATCAAAATCTCTTAATTACCATTTGGGCTCTTCAAACACGAAAAAACGTGTATATGGGTTTTGAACTCAGATTTAAGATGGAATCATACGATACTTGATTTCTTGAATGATATAAACAACGTAAGCATGAATGTTGCTATGCTTGATTTGATGCATACAGTTTGACGTTTAACAAATAACTATTTAAAATTATTAAAAAATTATTAGCAATTATTACATTAGCAATTGTTACATTTGATGGATGCATGCAAGGAATAAGCTATGAACTAATCCATAATCAATATAAAAATCGTGTACATGCAGCGCTTAATACATCAACGAATTTTAGCATACATCAAAGAAGGCATGACTGTATGCGTGTTATCATTCAAGAAATGAATTCAAGCCTTGTGATTCCATCTTTACAAATAGTTAATCAATTACACCGAGCCGCAAATCATTTGACGCCTAATACTTAAGAATATTGGATTTAGGCCCAACTTAAAACTCTATCTGTCTCGTTTTAAAGCCAAAAAGAGACAGAAAGAGTTTTAAGCTTCATTTAAAATCAAAGTAACGTTGGTGTAATCGAGTCTTAATTATTCTATGTTAAAAAAAATCATTTAATGACTTGAGTTGTGACTTGAATTGTTTCTTAAATTTTTCTCCCATTTCTGAAAATATAAAAAACACTTATATAGAAATTTTAGAAATTTTACGAACCTACGAATATCTACATTAATTAATTTATTAGTTAGTAGTGTAAAAAAGTTGGCAAAAAGACATATGACTAATTGAAACGCATTAAAATTGTCATTATCATTCTGATAATAGCTCAATAAGATATCGTTATCGAGAGATTATCACTGGAAATTATTGCAATTGTCAATCGCAACTTTTGGTGATGTAATTTTAAAATGTATTTATGTAAAAAAAAATAAATTATTCTCAACATTAAAAAGTTAAATATTTCTTAATAGTTAATATTTCTTACAAATAGAGATGAGATTATACAAATAGTGTCTTCTTGAGATTACGTGTATTTTTCTAGAAAAAAAAAATTTCTATTTGGTTAATATTCCCGAAAGATAACGAAACACAATAATGAAGTTTATATACATATCTACTTGTATAATAAAGTTCACATACATAATCTGAATTATATATATATAAAAGTTTCATATTTGAAAAACATTAAATTTATCTTTGCGAATACGTGTTATAGCAAATCGTTTATGAGACATCACGCATCGTACACCGTGAGTATTGATCGACTAATGAACGCACAAATATCCTATTACCTGTTACTGTTTCTCCCTGGCGCAGGCGCCGCTTTCTGCGCGCATGTTTAAGTCAATTCAGTAGCATCCGCACGTTCTGTGAGTAATCATGGATATCAATAAACGTGTCATGTCACACTTGGACGCGAGTGATTACAGTATTCAGTTGAATCGTTGGTTCCTAAAACCAGTGGGCGCTTGGCCACGTTCAGCCTCGACGACCATCAAAGAAAAAGTGATTTCAATAGTACTGATAATTATCTGTTATTCATTAATAGCCTACACGGTCGTACCTTGCATTCTGAACATCTTGCTCGAAGAGACCGATATGCATAAAAAGTTACAAGCTGTTGGTCCGTTAAATCACTGGAGTATGGGTGGCATGAATTACTTTTCACTGCTGTTTCGCAGCCGCGATATATATCGTTGCGTGGAGCACGTGAGGACTGATTGGCTTATAATAACAGATATAGAAGATCGGCAAATAATGCTGAAATATGCCAAATTTGGTCGTTTTGTCGCTGGATTGTGCGCAATTTTCATGCATAGCGGTGTGTTCTCCCATAGCGTGATGCAGGGCATCATACCTACATTTGTATATATCGGGAATGTGAGCGTGTCGATACATATATTACCGTGTCCCACGTACAGCAAGTTCATAGATATTACGAAGAGCCCAGCGGGTGAAATTGCGTTTACCGTGCAGCTCATCTCGAGCATCGTCGTTAATTCCGTTACCGCCGGTGCCTGCAGTCTTGCAGCGGTGTTTGCAATGCACGCATGTGGCCAGTTGAATATACTGATGAGATGGCTGGACCAGCTGGACGATCGAAAACAGCAGGATATGATACAACATCGATTGGCAATTATTGTGGAGCACCATCTGAGAGTATTAAGGTAATATCGATATAAATTTAAAAGTTAATATCTCTGTTTGAAAAAATAAAATCTTTTATATTTTGATGCCTTTAATCTTTGAGCCAAAAAACTATATCTAATCTGATTCTTTTTTTCCTTCTCTTAATATATTATAATTTAGTTCCAAAAAAAGTTTATATATGTAAAATGTAATTATAATTTACAGCTTCGTGGCACGAATGGAAGCACTTTTAAATCAGATATGTTTTGTAGAATTGTTAGGATGTACGTTTAACTTATGTATGCTCGGATATTATATTATTACGGTACGCTAAAAAATTAAAAAGTAAATGTGTAATTAAGACACATGTAGGACTTTATATACTTAAATAAATTGCAAAATGAAAAACGCACATACAAGAACTATCGCAGAGAAAAAATTGCCACAATACAACCAGCGACAGCAAACATATGTTATGATTTGAGAATCATGTGAGTATCGTCATATCTTTGATATAAGGAAGCATCAAATTTCAGAAGATAAGTATTAATAATTATAATTTAAGATTAGATTGATGAAAATAAAAGAGAAAATCCTGTTTTTAGTCAAAGCAAATTTTAATTAAATATTTCAGGGTGAATTTATATACAAATCCAATTCTGTAAACATTTTGCAAATCGACATTTTTTAGTCTTGAAATGCAATCATGAACAGAATTAGAAAGATAATATCATATATTAATTTGACTTGGTTATTTTTATAAAATAAGATTTATTATCATCATCAGTATTAGAATTACTTCGTTCTTGTTTTTTAAATGTTGAACAAGAATAAATACTCACAAATGTTGTAAATGTGAATCAGACTGTGTTATGACTTGACGAACAACAAATAACGCTGATCACACGGTAATTTTTTGTGCATCCGCTGTCAGATTTTGGCCCATGATCTTCGTCTACTGTCGTACTGGATGTACTGTGGCATTGCGTTCTTATATTATTTTTTAGAAATATTTAACATATAATAATACTTTTAATAATAATTATATATATAAATTGCATTACATAAATTGTCATAATACATTATGATAAACTTTCAGGGATGGAATACAATAGAAACAAAAATGACAATAGCTTGTATGATGATTATATATATATCCATGACTTTCAACATTTTTATATTCTGTTATATTGGCGAAACGGTAACAGAACAGGTAAAAAATATAAATTATGAAATAAAAATTTTATGTATAATATATAGGGCGAGTAAGAAATCCTGGACTGGTGCAATATTTGAAAACTAAGCATTTCCGAAAGAAATGTTTCTTAGAAAAGTTGTAGGGTTTTTAAGTGATTTATTCACTGATCTGTTCAGTCTAACATTGGGTGGCGTCAATAAGATCAGATCAAGATTAACATCGATTTTTTGCAATGGCACATCCTATTTTTGATTCCAGAATTTAATCGCAGAATCTAATCTAATCTAATAGCTGGTCAAAACCTTTCAAAACACTACAATAAAGTTATTTTTCATTAAGTACTTTTTGATTTATAAGGCTCAAAAGTTATAGTACCGCCTGCATTAGCATTACACAAGGTGTTCGACCAACTGTACTTCTTATTTTCATTTTTACGTAAAAATGAATTTTTTTACAAAAATTTTACGAAAATAAGGGGAATAATCTTTAATGATCTTGACAAACGTTATCCAAGACATGATCCTGAACAATATTCAAGAGGTTTTAGCCGTCGGACGGCTTACAGCTCGATAGCATTACATCTTGCGTAATATTAATACCGGCGGTACAATAACTTTCGAGCCTTATAACTGGAAAAGCACTCAATACAAACTGTATTTGTGTATGTAAATTTTATTATAGTGTTTTGAAAAACTCTCGACATCGGTTATTAGATTCTGAAATAAAAAATAGGGTGTTCTTTTTAAAAAAATTAATGTGACTTTGATCTAAACGTATAAAAACGTAAAAATGTATAAAAATATATAAAAACGTTGGCGACGCTACCTGAGGTCAAACTGATAAGATCAGTGTATAGATCATTTAAAACCGTACAATTTTTATAGGAGAATTTCTTTCGGAAATGCTTAGTTTTCGAGATATTTCACTTTTTACTCATCCTATATATACATACAATACATTGTATATATATATATATATATATATATTTTCTGAATTTTATAAAAAAAAAGTGCTAAATATATTATCACAACTTTTCCACATTATAAAATAATTTAATAGTGTAAACAAGTAGGAGAAATAGCTTACATGACTAATTGGTATTGTTTGCCACATAAAACGGCTCGAAGTCTGGTCTTAATTATCTCCCGATCGAGTAATGTAATCAAATTAACTGCAGGGAAACTATTTCATCTTTCCATCGCAACTTTTGGTGATGTGAGTGCACATTAATGTAAATATATTATATTTTTGCGGCCAAATACATTTCCAAAATGTTTTAGGTAATGAGAACCTCCATGATATATCCAAATATGCTTCGAACCATGACAGATTCTTAGATAATGAGATTTATATCATTTTGTACAAAGCGTTAGCAAATTTTCTAGTTACTATAATTTCATATTATATTTGAATAATAGTATGTATTACTAATAAAATACAAGATATCTATTATCTATATCACTTTTAAATCCTAAAAATAAGATGTAAAAATTATTATTGAAAAATTAATATTTCTTTAAGTAATAATTTTTATCTTTTATCGCTAAACAAATTTTCTATATATTACATTTGAAAGTAATATAAAATAAGTGATAGCGATTTAGAAACTGAATCATAAATTATTTCAATAAGAAATAGATACGTTTGTAGAAAAATTAATAACATAAAATGAGATTTTATTCAAAATGTAAAATTGTTGAATATAAATGTTTTACTGAATTGTTTCATGTGTGTAT